GTCGCTTCTTCGCGTTGAATCGTGCATCCCTAAGCAGGAGAGGAAATGGGATGAGAGTTGCTTCGCATAAAAAGTCATAAAATATATTTTAAAGTAGGAAATTTCTGTTTCATATATATAGTGAAATAGAAAAAAGTTTTCATTTAGTAGAAAAGGGATACTATTTTTTAACTTTTTTTGTTAATAACTTTTTAACGAAGAATGATCACCTAAAACCTATTGAAAGTCACTCAGGTTTATGATCTTAACAACATATGTCAAGGTCAGCGCGGTACCCTTAATATACAAATTACCGATTTTTTTTCTCACAAACTAATCTTCCAATCTGTGTGAATAAAAGAAAATATTCGGCCAATTTTAAACTATAACAAAAATTTTATTTTATTTTGAGTTGTACTGTTATATCGGTAGTGAAATTTATTATAATGAACTTTATTATAATGAAGTTCTGAAGACGTATCCGCATGAGCGGTCTCAACGTCGAATCGACTTGTCACTTTAAGATTCGCCGAATATTTTCATTTTTTATTCACACTTATTAGATGATTAGAAAAAAAAAAATAAATGTAGTCATGTTCCAAGTTTAGATATTTTTTATCTCGATAACTATTGTTAAAAAAAGTCTGGAAGACAAAAAATGTTTATTTTGATCCAATTAAACTTATACAGTTTTTTGGAATTTTTATTCAAAGATTTTAGATTTTTTAAACAAAAAATTGCTTATAACCTTTCAATAACCATATAAAAAGACAAAGTGTATAATTATTCTTGAGGCTTGCATGAATCTTTTCTATATAAAAATTATGCTTTTCGCAGATTTTCTACGTGTCCAGATCCATTCTTGGAATGCCAACGTTTTGTGAACTTTGCTGTTCACGAGGACTTCATCAGGACGAGGAGCAGCCTGATACTGAGTTGTTCCTTGAGGCATCGGTTCCTTTTTTATTACGCTGCTTGTTGGAGTGGTGGGGCGAGGGAGGGGGGGGAATTGTTAGTGGGGGGAGCGGTGGGGGAATTGGTCGGTCTTCAATATAAGTATCTTCAATAAACTTCGCACCTAGAAAGATTCCAAGGGAAGACATTATTAGCCAAAGAGTCAACCATCTAGCAACTCTCATTAGAACAAGCAGATAATATCCGCAGATAGGTAAATATTCTTTCCAAAACCAAACCCCTACACCAAACATCACTAGACAAGAGCGATTGGCCCTCCAAGATCTGAACAGGGACACAAACGTCATCGCGCTTTCAGCCAAAGGCAAGTACAAAGGCACGACAGTAGTTGAACGCATCAGATTATAAGAAAAAGATGAAGAACCTTCTTTCAGACAAAGCATACAAAAAGCTTGACAAAGATCCAACTAATACAATTGCACAGAACACCAAGATTCTAGTGCAGGAAAGCATTCTCAGTAAAACAAATTCAATATTAAAACAACCAATATAAAACCTACAAATTCTCTCCCAAGACGATATGGACTATCAAAAGTACACTAACCAAACATTCCCCTCAGACTGATCAACGCCATACACTCTCTGACGTACAACTCTCGCTTCCTAGAGCTTTCATCATCTCTCACAAAGAACATATACAGACCTAAAACTAGCCTTACAGAAAAACGGACACGACAAAAAAGACATAAAATAATCAATAAACATGACAACGATTTCTGACACACAACCAGACGAAAAGATTCATTCTCCTATATGTCAAAAGAACAACAGATTGGATTGGCAGGATATTAAACAAACACAATATCCGAACTATCCTCAAACCACAAAAAGATAAGAGAAATCTTAAGAAATCCTAAAGATCAAAGACCTCCACTCAGCTCCGCAGGGTATACAAAATACCTTATTTCCTACAGGCAAGTATACATTGGAGAAACCGGGAGAATGAATCTACGGATAAAAGAACACCAAAGTGATGTCAGGCTAAAACACGCCACGCAGTCGGCATTACTCATGTTATAGTTCCCACTATTTATTTCGACGGACATTGCTATAAAAATGAACATAATGAAAAAGACTTATACTTAAGACAATCTTAAATATAAGAATCGACTGTGAATATTGGCCAAATATTCTATATTCTATATTGTTCTAATTTTGGTGGCAATTATTTCATAATGAGGAATGATAAGTTACATAGGTTATAGGCTGTAATGTCACTTCTACCTATAACTACCTATAACTACTGAATTGCCAATGATGCAAATCTTCTTTGGCTCTTTTGTTGAAATAATTAAAGTGTTACTTAAAAAGAACATCAAAAAAGACCTTTCAATGACCATAAGTCCATACAATTATATATTGTCAACATTGGGCGCATTCAGCGGACTCAGTGGTTGCTGTGCGAAAGACAGAGACTGCAGCGCGCGCAGCTCTGAATACTGTGAAAACGATTACTGTCCAAATAGCGATGACTAGCGCGCGCATAGTAACTATCGCTGTGCAGTGAAAATTTTTTCTCGGCATAGTAGTCGGCGCTGCGCGATTTTCTTCGTGTAGTAGAGCAAGAAGAACGGGCGTTCTCTCTCGCTGTCTCGCTCGCTCTCGCGTAGTCGGACGACTACGGTGCCAGTAGGTGTCTGCTCGATAGGCATAGAAGTGGTGGGGCTGTTTTTCTGTGATGCCGGGGCCAAATGTGCACCACTGCTCAGTATCAGGCTGCTTCTCACCTTGATGAAGTGGACTGCAAGGTTCATAAAACGTTGGCATTCCAAGAATGAATCTGGACATGGAAAAAAACCGCGAAACACATAATCTTTATAAAATGTATAATTGTATATGAATATTTTTTCGCAGAATAATATAAGATACCGAATTAAGTCATTTTTGATAGAACGTTGATTGGTCGGTTAATGCATTTTTTCAGAGACTTTTTGGGGAGAGGGGAGTAAACCGCTCGCCTAATGAGGTCGTCAATACAGTTTTACCTTAATTTTTTGTAAAGTTTGAAAGGTTAACTTTATACGATTTAAAATAGATAATGTTAATATTATATAAAATGAAAAACTGTGTTCTACGCATGGTGTGTATTGTTTTAATAAAATAATTCAATAAATTCTTTGATCAAATTCTTCAAGATATATAAATTGTTTTTATTTTTAATGTGGCTGTTTTGATTTTACAATTATTAAATATGAAAGAATTATATTATTTTTTACATTTGCGAATGAAATTGATATGTATTACCACGCACCACGCGATGTACTTATTGTAAATGTTTTTCGAACAAAATCTGTATAGGCCGCATTCGGAAAGATGCATTAGTGCTATTTATTTATCTTTATTTTACATCTAATGAATGATAAAGATAAAATGACATAATAGCGTTTCTCCGAACGTATTCATAGCAGAATGATAAGAATTATAGACGCCGACTACGGCGGGGGGGGGGGGGGGG